AATAGCTCTTTTATTATATTTCCTCTGGAATGTTACAGAAAGCGCTTTTAAGCATTTAGATCACTAAGGCAACCTGAACACGTGAAGGCTGATTTAACAAACATCTCTCTGTCCGTGAACACATATTTACAGAAGTGGTTTTCACAGTGGGCTTCGCTTGCGGGAGAAACAGCGGTGAGTGGACAGGGCTCCTGCACCTCCACCTTTATCTGCCCCATTTCTTGGATTTCAGGATAAGATTTTATTGGATAAAATATTTTTGGCTTAAAAAATATTTGAAAACTACTACTGAAGAAAGGGTCTAGGCAGTTCCCCTTCTTCTTTGAAAACCACAAAAATAAAAAAATGACCTTACATTGTGGCATTGGGGTCAAGTTACCTAAAATCCAGTTACCAGATCCTGTCTAGAAAACGTTACTCAGGAAAGCTGTATCATTTTCTATTCTCTAAAGCTTTAAGAATTTCATAATTCTTTTTAATGTATTTTAAATTATGTAACAAAATCTTCTCATAAAAAATTCTAACACAGAAATATAGAGACTAAAAATGAGAATAAAGAGAATAAAAACATTGCTAACTGCATTTCCCTCTCCAAAGGCAATTACCCGTAACAGACTTTCTTTCTATGTATGTACATACATATATATACACAGAACTGCTCGTGTTATTGATGTGTGATTCCTGATTTGTAGTTTTCTCTCAAGTTTGGAGGAAAGACTCAGGAAACTGTTCCTTTGAGGTCCACAGCGCCATCGGTTTGGTGGCATAAGTCCCGAATAGTGGAAAACAAAGTTCAAATGAAACCAGTTTCTAAGTGTGTAGAGTCCTGTAGGAAATTCTGTATACTGGAAATGCTAACGAGAAGCATAAGTAGTTAACAGTCTTTGCATAAGTTTTTCTAGAAAACTCTTGACCTATTCACCTACAAGTAAGTATGCAGTCACAGTAATCCTAACAGCTGCGCCCTATGGCCTAAGTCAAACCTCATTCATTTGTTGAAATCTACATTTGAGTCACAGAATTTTGATTAAATTCATGTTATTTACTGAATTTATGAAATCTATACAATTTACCATGTGGCACAGGATAAATTTTGCTAATATGGTTTACAAGTTATATATCATTATGAATAATGCAATATATATCGGTTAAGAAGCCCCCCCAAAAAACACACACACACACACACACACAAACTTTGTGTTTATCTAAACTATACCTTGCCTTCTCAGTTTTCAGTATAATTTTCAGTATAAATAATCTCTCATAGCATCTCATTTTAACTGAATATTTTTTTAAAGCACCTTAATTCTTCGACTCTGAAGCATATTTAAGTGGCAAGTTGTCACTTAGCTAGTTATTCAGAATATTTAAACAATATTTGTCATGAGAATAGAATAAAAGTTCTATTTCTATTCATTCTGTTACCAATGTTGTACAACCTAAATGGGTTAGATAATTTTTTGTTTATAATAAACTCTATAACACTCATAACAATGGGAAAGAGTAAAGCTACAATAATACAAAGTAGAAAATAAAAATATTTATGTTTGCCTATAGAATGTGTTTTCAAACTTCTTGTGGAATGTGTTTTCAAACTTGCAACTAACTGTGTATATATGAGTGGGATTTTAAACAAAATATTACAGCAAAAACGATAAAAATGTAATGCAGTGATTTTGTAGAAATGACATGATGTCAAGGATTGAGATTATTTAAAACCATCTCATTCCACAAATTTGTATACAGGTGTACTTTGAGGCTCAGCTCATAATGGCTGTGTTAGTTGAAAAAAGTTACTTAGCTTTTTGAGGCTTTACTTTTCTCATTTGAATATTAAAAGAGATTAGCCTAGGTAATTTCTGAAGACCTTTTCTTTTTTTTATTAATTAATTAATTAATTTTTGTTACAGATGTTTCTCCTTTTCCCCCCACTGATTCTCCCCTCTCTCCCCGCTCTGTCCCCAGCTTTGTTGTCCATGTCCATTGTTCATGCACACATGCATATAAGTTCTTCTGAAGACCTTTTCAACTTTTGTTATTCTATTAAACTATGATTCTTAAGTACTTGGAAATCATATATTTCTTTACTTTTTTAAAAAATCCTTGCCCGAGGAAATGTTTTATTGATTTTTAGAGAGAGAGGAAGGGAGGAACATAGAGAGAGAAAGAGGGACAAACATTGATTGGTTGCCTCCCGTACATGCCCTGACCAGAGATGGAACCTGCAACCTTTTGGTGCATGGGACAACATTCCAACCAACTGATCTACCCAGCCAGGGCCATATTTTCCCACTTTTTAATTTTGTCATCTCAGACACCCACATGTCAGATTGATTCTTTCCCCCACCATGGTTTTATTAAAATATAATAGACATATAGCATTGTATTAGTTTAAGGTGCACACATAATAATTTGACATATGTATATATCATGAAATTGCACAAAAGTTTAGTTAGCATCTATCATCTCACATAGTTACAGGTTTTTTTTTTCTTGTGGTGAGAACTTTTAAGTCCAACCAATTCTTAACAGATCTCTTGAACCTTCCCCGGGACCAAGGATTTTAAAATATTTCCATGAACACAATGAAAAAATAATTAATGTCCATTAACAACAGTATTTCATTTAAATCAACATTGTTGAAAAACAAATGATTTCACTTAAATTACTTTTCTGGAGAATTGGCACCTATTTTATTGCATACCAAAATTTTAAAATTTATTTTAACATTCTCTTGATAGAAAATCTCTATATATTTTAATGCCTTTTAAAACAAAATATTTCCGTATCTTTTTTTTTCTGTGTGTTTTCTAGAAGATGTAAAATCACCTTTCTAAACATGCTACTATACAGGCTATCCTTCAGGGCCGGTTCAGGTATGAAGGTTCTTACTAAGGATTCATTAGGTGGCAAGTGACAGAACCTAACTCAAGCTGGTAAGGAAGTTACTAGCTCACCTCACTGAACCGGAGATGCTTCCAGCTGGATCAACAATGTGGTTATTCATTTGGAATTTTCTCTTTCTCCCTTTTCATATGAAGAATCTGCTTTGTTCCGTGGTCCTTTTGTTCTTCTGGAGGCTTTCCTTGTACTTCCCAAGGATTACCAACAGCAGGTCTGCAGTTTAGCGACCCCAACAGAAAGAAAGCTCTTTTCCAGTGCTTCTAGTAAATTCTTGAAAGCTGACTCTCCCTGGTGAGGTATGGGCCACATGCTCATGGCTGAAACAATCAATGTGGTTGGAGGGGCGCTCCCTCATTGGCCAGCCTGTCCTCATCCTTGGAGCATTGGTGGAGCATGGGTTTTGGGGATGTCGGAATGACAGTCTCACATGAACCACACGGATGGGGAACAGAGGAGATGGGGATTTCACAAAAGAAAATGAGTGAGCTGTTACCAAAAAAGGGGCAGGTGGGAAATGCTTATCAGGCCAAAACTTCAAATATCCCGTATGGAAAAGATATTTACCCCCACATTTTGTAGTCTTTGATTGCTATCTTTTCGGTCTCTTTCTATCAGCTGTCACTTATAGTTTGCCTCTATCACAACCTCCTCCTATATTTTAATTTGCAACATCTTATGTTCCAAAGGTCTGGAAACCAGGTGGGTAAAGTCATTAGGATTGTTTTCAAAATACGAGTTATTGGGCTCAGAAGATGAGGCCTCAAGCGATTCTCTTGAGTACAAACTTTTTACTTTTTATTGGACTTCCTGACATTTCTTATGACCCTTCAAAAGTCATTTTTGCATATTTTCTGGGTTGTTTTTTCTTTTCTTGCCAAAAGTGCCTTTTTAATAGAGGATATACTATTGTAATTTTAAGACCCAATGACTATGAACAGTAAATGTCATGAACATGGTTACTTTAAGTAAAAGTTACATTTTTGTGATTTTCCTAAATTTTAAGTGGTTTTCTGAAGTGAGACTGGTGGTGTAAGTGTTCTTTTGAAAATGGAAACATAACAGAAAATAAACAGCTGACCAATTAGTTGTAATTTATTTTCCTGTACTTATTAATATACGTGTATTTTATTTTACCTTTCTCCCTGTAACACCTCTCTGATCTCAAACAGTACTGGAATAAAAAATAAAAAATAAACAGTCTGATCCTCCAGAGCCTGGCCTTGTTGTTTGGGAATCAAAGTCCCCCACAGGGACTTGCACTTATATCTCATTACAGAGAACTCTGACACATGGCCACGTCCTGCTGCTGAGTAGATACGAATTGGAGTACTTGGCTCTCAGCCTATAATAGCATAGGCAGCCCAGGGAGAAGGGATTGAAGTGGGTATTTATGGAAGTCTGCCTTACAGGTTTTTTGTTATTTTGGGAAGTTTATTTTTTCTGGCATACTGCAAATGTATAGAGAACAAAGAATATGTTTTGTGTCTTTGAATTGCCCACACTAATGAGCAAGTGACTGCATATGCACTTACTACAGTGTCTAAGACATTGTGGCTACTGAAATCAATGTTTTTGAATGATAGAGCTTTACTTTAGAAATAACCAGGCAAGAATTAGTGACTCTAGTGTCTCTGAAAATAATGGAATCCAGAGATTTCACTCTGGTGACTCATTTCCTCTTATGACTATGAAGAATTGCCTGGAGCTTTACTGGTTCGTTGAGTTGGCCCATTGGAGAAGACAATTTAATGGTAGTCTTACTTGGAATATTTGAAGTATAAGTCACAAAAACAGGGTTGGAAAGAAGTCATATAAAAGTATGATGGTCAACAAGGTCTTTTTCAAGAGAGGTAAAAGGCAGATAATAATTAGGGTAAGCATTATAATCATTAGCAACTGAAAACTAAGACTAGTCTAATTTAAAATATTTTAGCCATTCAGAGTTTTAAGGGAAAAAATAAGCACAATTCATTCATTTAAATTGCTGTTTAATTTATTTGTTTAAATCTCAGATTGCTGTTCTATATCTATCCTGTTTCTCCTTCAAACAGATCTTGTTTGTCATCCCTCTATCATCATATTCTTAATTATAAATCATGAGGGGTGAAGATAAAATAATTGAACATCAAGATTTAGAACAATCCACAGCAGTGAATGACACAGTCTCTGCATATCAAGGAACGCAGGTAAATCTGTTACCAAATGAAGTACATCCAACCGTTTCCTTAAGGAAAGGACTATATATTTCCAAATCTATGACGGGATTGTTTTCTCTTTATTCTGTATCACCCAGTTAACAATTCTCCCTATTCTCAGTCCCCAAACTCATACAGTCCAGGGTGTAGCAGCCAGCTTTCCCAGATAGTCACTGGCAGCTGGCCTAACATGAGGCTAGAAAAATAAAGAGTCTGTGAAATGCTTTGTGTTCCTAGCCTAGCCCTTTGTGTATGTGTGTGGGTTTTCTTTGTTTTTTTGTTTTTTGTTTTTTTATTGCTTAAATTCAGGCAGATGAATAAATGTCAATTGATTTTCACCACAGATAGTTATCTTTTTCTGAATCACTTTTATTTATTTACCAACTATTACGTTGAATCATATCTTTTTGTTTGTTTTAAATCCTCACCTGAGGATATGTTTTAATGATTTTTTTTTTAAGAAAGAAGAAGGGAGAGAGAAAGAGAGAAAAACATCATGCAAAAGAGAAACATTAATCAGTTGGCTCCCATACTGGCCCTGATCAGGATCGAACCTGCAGCCTAGGTATGTGCCCTGACTGGGAATCGAACCCTCAACCTTTTGATGTATAGGACAATGTTCCAACCAACTGAACCACCCGGCCAGGGCTTGAATCATATCTTACATAGGCTAATTTTTAAACACAGTATTGTAAAACCTAATGAAATTTTATGTGACTCAAGTATTTATAATGATACAAATAGGGACTCAATGGTAAATACACCCAACACAATTCTTGTTCCAAGTATTAGCTGATTAGCTAATAATAAAGCCATGCATTTACCAGTAAGTGTTAGTCTTGATTCTAGTAATAGTAATTTGATTTATGATTTATGATTTGATGGCTCAGTAACTAAAAAAAAATGCATAGCAAATATACAATTTTAAGGACTTTTAAAATAAATTCTTTAAACACAGGAGGAAACAGTTATGAACCAAAAAGGTTTAGATGGAAATGAACCAACAGAAGTTTTGAATGGCAGTGAAGAAAAGCTACAAGAAACACCAACTGAACCAAATCATTTGCAAAGACTAAAGCAGACATTCGCTTGCCCTCCACATGGCTTACTGGATAGAATAATAACAAATGGTATGTAAATGGTAAGAATGAGTTCAGAAACAGAGGGTAAACGACGAAATTGTTATATAATGGGAGGCTCTAAAATAATATGGCTTAAAGAACCAAAAGAAGTTTACTTCTCTCTCACATAAAAACTGCTAGGTGAACAATTTGCAAAGGTAAGTTGCTCTGCTCCACAGGGTCATTCAGGGGCCCAGGCTGAAGAGCTCCACCATATTTGACACCAGGCCTTCAAGACCGCCGTGGTCATCACCACTCTAAATGACAGGAAGAGGAAAAGAGCAGGAATCAAGGACCTTTTTCTTACCTGAGTTATTTCACAGGATTATGTTAGGACTCCAATGAGAAAAGTGATTGAGAAATTGCTTGTAAACAGAAAAATACTCCATAAATGTTGATTATTACTGTTAGTTAATGCAGCTAATGCTTGAACAAACCACAGCTCACTGTATACTTCCAGATGAATCACATCATTTTATAAGTAAGGAACTTGGTTTGCAATTCAACTTATTCCAATAAAGCTGTTATTACTTAAAATATTTGGGGGGGTTTTCTTTAGGTATTTATCTCAGCATGGTTTTGAATATTGTTAGGGTTGAGATATATTTGTCTTTTAAGAATGCATTTGGGTTTTGGAGGCAGCCAAATATTATTCTGATACCAATATGTTGAATAAATGGATGTTCAAATTGAGTGATGCTGTTTTTGTTTTGTTTTGTGTTTTTATCCTCACCCGAGGACATTTTCCCATTTTTCTTCTGATAGAGTGGGAGGGAGAGAGAGGAAGAGAAAGAGAGAGAAAAACTTCGACGTGAAAGGGACACATTGAGAGGCTGCCTCCCACACAACCCCAACCAGAGCCAGGGACAAACTGCAACCGAGGTACGTGCCCTTAGCGGGTACCGAACCTGGGTATCTCTGTACCGCAGGCCGACGCTCCAACCGCTGAGCCAAACCGGCCAGGGCAAGTGATGCTTTTTTTTTTTTGTTCAAAAAGGAAATGCATGTATTTGTGTGTAGGTGTGTGCATATTGTGTATATTGGAGGATGTGTAATATAGTAGGAAAAAGGAGAAGGGGTTTAAAAATTGACTATAAAAACAAATTTAAAGACAATTTCACAAATCGTGTTAAGGAATGCCAGCATCATCGAAATTAATATATTGCCTCCCAAAGTAAATATGTCGAAAAGTATAACATATTTGATCTAGAAGTTATGTTTATTGAAAGATCAGACTCCCTTCTTTATAGTTGTATTTCATTTTGGAGCTCTGAAAGACATTTTTACCATTCTCAAGTACGGCAGTGGACGCCAAGTATAATACATTGTACTTTAGACCCTAGATATGTTTTCAATGAAAGTAGGTATGTTTCTCAACTAGCATGAGAACAAAAAGATCTCAAACGTCACTTGGAACAAAGAGAAAACCACGTTCCAAAATATACAGTAGTTGATATGGCTACAGATAACTTAATACCTTTTCTAAATTATTTTTTTAAACTTGTGCCATCCAAATTATGACACATTTCTAGTTAAAACATTTATAGTAAAACAGATACAGATTGACACAAGGAAAGGGTATACATGAATGATGTAATTTTGAGACTCACTGTTTTAAAATTATGTAATCATTGTCCATAAAGGTGCCAGAGAAATGTGACTCAATATATAAACACCTCTTCACTTGTTTTCCTATACTTCTGTTCCTGAAAGTACAAGATTGTTGTTGTTTTTCTATACGACCTCCTGTGTCTATTCAGTATATACAGTATAAGTATTCTTCTTAAGAAGTAAATGTTACATGTGAATACAAAAATTTTCAAAATCACAAATGAGAAGTAAATTCACTGAATTAAATGTGATTTAGGGAAACCTTATAAATGTACATTTGCTGGTATTTAGAACTGCACTTTGAATATGGGAAAGGAACATTCGAGGTATAAAAAAGTGGTCTTAATATATAATATATAATTTAGGTTACCAATGTATATTTATTGACCAAGTATATTGCCAACATATACTTATTAACACAGTAATTATTTGTTCCTATCAATAAGTGGATAACCAGATCACATATATGAGATATTAAAGTTCCATTGAAGTGGAACCCTCCTTGTTCTAGCTGGCTGATTTAGTATAAATTCGGGTTTATGCTGTGATAAAGTAAAATTTAGTAGCTGGCAATTCCTGCTTCCCCATTATACCTCCAATACTGCAGTTATATTAGTTATATAACAACATAAGCCTAGCAAATCTGGAACAATTCTGTGAGGGTTTAAAAAATGGAATGTTGACCCTGGCCAGTTTGGCTCAGCGGTTGGAGCATCCACCTGCGGTCCGGAGAGACCCGGGTTCGGTTCCCGCTAAGGGCATGTACCTCGGTTGCCGTTTGTCCCCGGCCCTGGTTGGTCGTGCGGGTGGCAGCCACTCGATGTGTCCCTTTCACATCGATGTTTCCCTCTCTCTCTCTTCCTCTTTCTCCCTCCCACTCTATCTGTACAAAAAAATGGAAAAATGTCCTCGGGTGAGGATAAATAAATAAATAAATAAATAAATAATGGAATGTTGAATTCAATCTCTAGCAATATGGTAGATAAGATTCAGTGAATAGTCTTTTCACTTATACCAGTGAAAACATCTGAAAAAAATATTTTGTCTTTTTAAATGTACCTTTTTTCTGTCAAGAAAATAGGAAATCATCAGACACCAAAACAAAGTATAAGTAAGAGAGAGAAATAAACACTCAATCTGGCCTTTACCCTGGAGGTTTCTACAAAACACCTGTGAATTTGAGATTTATTTTGAGAACTATGAGAGTATAGGAGGCTACACTAGAGTCTGCCCAGGTTGAAAGAAGTGTAATGGGGGGGAAGTCGTTCCCTTCACACAAGCACAGTTGGAACCCAGTGTGATGGTGACTTTGAGGTAAACCTGCCCTGCTAATGGGCCCTGCACTAAACCTATCTTTCTTAACTGTGGTGCTGGATGGGGGGGGGGGGGGGGTGGAGTCTCCACTAAAAATGTGTAACTTCATGCTGATTTGTGCTCACTGAAGAAAATCAAGCTAAAATATGTCTAAAAGGGGTCCTGGACTATAAACTTCTGAGTACACAGTAGAAGCGAATTCCGATCCTATCTGCAAAAACTCATGTTCAATCTAAGGTTCCAATCCTCAAAGATAAAGTTCCCAGGAAGAAATTAGTATTGCAAAAACAACAACGAAAAATCACAACATGCACAAGGAAAAAGATTTCAAAAATTTGCATTATCTGAAAATAGAATATAAAATATTTTTTATATCTGTACAGAAGTTGAGATGATAGCAAATATGAGTACAGAATATGTAATTATTTTAAAAATGAACCAAGATACTTTAATAAAAGCCAAATTGAATTTTTAGAAATGAAAGATATAGGACAATAATTGAAATGGAAAACTTAGTAGCTAGATTAGGCAGCAGAGTAATAAAAAGAGAATTGGTAAACTAGCAAATAAGTCTGAAGAGATTATCTAGAGTGTAATACACACAGACAAAAATAGATAATATAGAAACTAGGGCTAGTAACATGGAGAAAGGAGTGTGACTCTCTAAACATAGTTCTAGAAGAAGAGACTAGAAAGAATGGTGAAGAGAAAATATTTGCAGACATGAAGACTGAGAATTTTCCAGAATTGATGAAAAACAAAAACTAAATGAACCAAAAGGAAGCCATACCTAAATTTAACATACTTAAAAACAGCCAAAAAAAATTTCCTAAAAGAGCTGAAATTAAACTAAAATAAAAACGAGCAACACAGAAAACCAACGAATAATATTTTCCAGGAACTGAAAGAAACTCTCAACCTAAGATTGTATACCCAGAAAAAACATCTTTAAAATATGAGAATAAAGATAATTCCAGTCAAAACAGAATCAACTACCAACAGGTCCTAATGAGAAATGTAGCATACTTTGTTGCAAAGTGTTTTGTACCACTTAGCTTATTTGCAATAGTAAATAGGGAATTGTGTCAGTATAATATGCAATTTGCACTTTTGTACATAATTTTTCCTGACACATTAATACTTTGCATCATCAAGCAATAGAATTGAATGCAAAGTGAATTGGAAACAAAACAAAAAAAAATCAGGTATATGCTTTCTTACAATTAAAGATTAAAGCCTTACTAATATAAGGACCTTTTCAAAGCTGAAATATCTGTGGAAGTGCCTCTTTTTCAGGCAGTTGGTTTCTGGTTTAGGGACTTCAGAGACCATTAACTTTCCACAATGTTAAGCTACCTAATGAAACCATATGTCAATGAAGAAGCTGGCAGTACAGATGAAGAATCTGCCAACACTTTTTGCTCAGTTAATATAACCAAACATTAAAACAACATTTGACTGATGGAGAAGACTACAGTCTGGATCCGATTTTGATGGAACTCCTCTCTATTTAAAGCAAAGCCCTCAAGATTCTATACCTTGAAATAGGAAGTGTGGTTCCAGGTTTTAAGTCCGCAAAGAAGAGACTGAAGGTGGGAGATACACATGTTGGTGGAGATTTAACTGAATTGGTACTTTTCTTAGGGTAGTTATTGTTTTTGTTAGTGCTTTGGTCACAAGTTTTGAGTTTTGAGTGGTCGTCCCAACTCTGTTTTCCCACGAGCCTTTCTATTTTCAGTGTACAGTTTTGTAGAACACAAGGTTTTCAAACAGGGAAACATAGTTCACATTCCCAGAAATGCCTCTCTACTCAAGGGAATATTTCAGGCAACAAGATAGTTATCTCAGGTGAAAGGTGCGCGATGCCATAATGAATGACAGTTTAAAAAAGGTAATTACATGGGTCATTCTAAACAAACACTGACAATAATAATGTTTACTTCAAGGTAGAACTAAAATTCTGAGTGTGATTGCTGAAGTATTCTCATGTTCCTATGAAGAGGATAAAGATAGTGATTGTTTCTCTCTTTAATATTAACTAGTGAGCTATTTATGGTAAAATTATAAAGATAAGAAAATGGTTTAAAAAATTCAAGATAGTAGTTCCTTCTGGCAGTGTGAAAGGAAATGGAGATGGGATAAGGAGAGATGCACAAAGCCATTGGTAACATTCTATTTCTTAAGATGTTGGCACATCAGCGATGCTCTTAAAATGTATACATGGTTATAAGTATTAGTATATGTATTCAATGTTTATTTTCATTTTTTTAAAATTATATTAAAACCTGCATATAACAACTTATTGATAGAAACTAGTTTTCCTGGTTTATTTCAGTTACCATGGTTGTTCTGCTGTGGGCAGTAGTTTGGTCAATTACCGGCAGCGAATGTCTTCCAGGAGGAAACCTTTTTGGAATTATAATCCTTTTCTATTGTGCCATCATTGGAGGTAAACTTTTTGGGCTTATTAAGTTACCCACATTGCCTCCACTGCCTCCTCTTCTCGGTAAGTGCTAAACAATTCTTGTCTTCTTCAGAATAAATCATGTCTTAAGAATAACAGTTTGGAGACCTTTGGGAAATAAAGAACTAATTTATTTCCTGTATTTTCTGTGCTGGAGCTAAAAACTGAGAGTTAAATGTTGAGGAGTTTTGTGAGCCAGTTGTGAAAAACAGTGATTTCAAAAATTAAATTATAAATAGTTAAATAACTTGCATTAAAAACAAGAGTAATAAGTACTTAAAACTGATCATAAATCTGATCCTAAGTATTTTACTACATTTCCCCTCATCTCTACTGTTGAGATTATGGAAACACGATATAATCGTGTGACACTGCCCATTTCTCCCCAGCTCCACATCCAGCAACACCATGGTCATAGCTAACACAGGTCAGGATGGAAGTATTTATAATACAGAAATCAGTAAATGCTACAAATGTAAGTCATTCACATCGTTGACAAACAAGTGAGATTCCAACATATATTTCCATTTTTTCATCTTATTCATTAACATTAACATTAACAAAAATATCAGCCAACCTTTATGGTGACACTATCAGTGATGTGAGTGACTACTTGCTAAATTTTTTCAATAAGGATTTGCTTCAAAATAACTTGGGTGTATTTGAAATAAAATTGGCCATTTGTTGATAATTTTTACATATTTAAAATTTATTCCATAATACAAATTAAGGGAAAAAAGAAGGTGTTCTTTCCTCCACAACCAAGGGAGAGGCTCCTGTGCCCTTAGAGCGAGAAGGGACACCTGCCGAATCACAATCAGGTGGCCACACCAATCCAGACCACTGGCAAAGGAAACACGGTCCCAGGGAAACTGTCTTCACATTCACTTGGAGAATATAAAGTGCTCCCTCTTTCCCCGCTAAAACTCCTAAGAAACTCTTAACACATTTTTGAGTTCTTGTAAGATTATTATTCCTTTTTATTTCAGGTAGTTATATGCTATCATCAATCTAGGACTAATTTAGATTCACATTTTAAGTTTCATTAAGAAACTATTGACATATTAATAAAATGTAAGGTTAGTGCAGTGTTTTTGGCTGGTAATTCAGCAATATCTACAAAAATGATTTACACACCTGTACCCTAGAGCCTAAAATTTTCACCGCTACGAATTGTCCTGTGGATATACTTGCACATACCTACAAATATATAAGCTCCGTACGAACGGGGACCGTGTTGGTTTAGCTCATTTCTGCATTGCCAGGGTATCGTAGGGATCTGGCAGGTAGTAGGCACTTAATAAATACTTGAGGTATGAACTGATCCATGAACTGGTCCAAAAAGTATGGTATTTCCAAGCAGTGGGATACTATTATTATAATCATTAAAAAGAATAAGGCAGCCCTGGCCAGTTTGGCTCAGCGGTTAGAGCATCGGCCTGTGGTCCGGAGAGACCCGGGTTCGGTTCCCGCTAAGGGCACGTACTTCGGTTGCAGTTTGTCCCCAGCCCTGGTTGGTCGTGCGGGTGGCAGCCACTCGATGTGTCCCTTCACGTCGATGTTTCTCTCTCTCTCTCCCTTCCTCTCTCTCCCTCCCACTCTATCTGTACAAAAAATGGAAAAATATCCTCGGGTGAGGATAAAAAAAAATAAAAAAATAAAAAAAAAAAAGAATAAGGCAAATATAGATGTGATTCATTGGGAAGATGTTCAGAATATATGGTTAAGTGGGGAAAAAACAAATTGAACAACAGAAGATAAATGTGCTCCCATCTGTGTCCAACACGAAGTGCACATGCGCACACACACACAATCACACAGGCGTGCTTAAGGAGGTAAAGAAACGTTCTGGACCGGCACAGAAAACTCTTCGCAGAGGAAACCTTTGGGGAATGAAGATAGAAAGTTATAGGTGGGGTTGGGCATATACTTGTTACTTTTCCCTTGTCTGTAATGGTTTAGTTTACCATGAGTATATATTATTATTGTTATTATTATTATTTATTTTAAATAATTTTTTCTTCATTGATGTTAGAGAGAGAGAGAGAGAGAGGAAGGAAGGAAGGAAGGAAAGAAGGAAGGAAGGAAGGAAGGAAGGAAGGAAGGAAGGAAGGAAGGGAGGGAGGGAGGGAGGGAGGGAGATAGAAACATCAATGAGAGAGAACATCGATTGGCCACCTCCTGCATGCCCCCACTGGGGACTGGGCCTGTGCCCTGACTGGGGATCAAACCGAGGACCTCTTGGTGCATGCATGGGTCGATGCTCAACCACTGAGCCATACCAGCTGGGCTTTATCATTATTCTTTTCAAAGGGGCTATTATAGGCTAGATCATTCTTGCAAAACTTCTAGAAAGAACATGACTGCAGAATTCAGAACTTTGAGATCTCCTTCTAGATTACATGGCAGTGATGCGGGAGCTCGGGAGTGGTGCTTTCCTGCCTGGAGGTGTCTGGAGCAAGCCACAGAAAGCTATGCTTGTAATTCGCCTCTGTTCTCATAGCTTACACCCAGGACACCTCAACCTTAGCAAACGTGTTAGTCATTAACGAGTGGTGCTTATAAGAACACAGTGGGAACTGGGCGCTGCTGGAGAAGAACGGAGAGCGGCAGACTGTCTGCCGGAGAACATTTCCCTTGGTGTGGACGTGACAGCCACAAGGGCAGACTTCTCTCACAACACCTCGGCTTCCTCAGTCACACTCAGCTACTTGCAGGTCCCAGAACGTGTCACACTCTCTTCATACCTTGGAAGAAACTTCTGTCTTCCATAAACTTCTCAACTCCCCCAACCTGGCCTTCCCCCCACCTCCCCTTCTCTGGACCCCTGTAACTCACCCTCCTGTCTCAGCTTATACTTATGCTTCCATAACATTGAGACTGTCCGTTTGTCTTGATCCCCTACAGGCTGAAAGCTTGTTGAGGTGCAATACCGAGTCTTTGTTCATTATTATCTCAAATACCTCCTACGGTGTCTCAAACACTGAAGGCAGTGGTATGTGTGGAGTGACCTAATGAAAGGAGGCACCAGCTGACATGCTAGAGCAATGTCCAATTCATCATAACTCACTTCTAAGCCTTTGCAAAGCAGGTTATGTGTTTTTTATTAAATTATCTGGTTTGAAGGTAAAATAGAACCTGTATAGGTATTTATTGATATTTCAGGTAATCTGACATAGCAAATAATTTCAGGAGCTATTTGCTACTCACACACAAAGAAATAACTGAATTGGGCATTTATTCTTTTTTATTTTATTTTTTCCATTCCCATTTATCCCCTCTATGCCCTCTTCCACCTCCCTGCTTCCAATCATCACATCATTGTCCATGTCCATGAGTTCTCTCTTTTTTCTTTTGGTGCAATCCCTCCACCGCCCTCAGCACTCCCCACCAGAGCTGTCTGCCTGCTCACTGTGCATTTTATTGAAACATTGTGTATTTAGAATTTGATCACACTTTCCAATACTGCATCCTATTTCTTTCCGTTTCAGTTATCTGAATAAGTATTCTAATCTATCATTTTTATCTGCGTATTAAAACCTTTTCTCAGCTCCTTTATTTTATTATTTTATTTTAAACTAAAGTTGATGTGATTTTATCTAAGGGCTAAGCATAAAGGAAGTGGTTGCTGGGATTACAGAGTAGTCTCTTTCCCATCTAAAGTACCGAAAAGTATTTTCAGTATTTGAAAACTATCTAAAGAGTTGTTTGACTTCTCCATTCCAGGAATGCTGCTTGCTGGGTTTCTCCTAAGAAATGTTCCTGTCATCAGTGATAATGTGCAGATCAAGCACAAGTGGTCTTCTTCTTTGAGAAGCATAGCCCTGTCTATAATATTGGTTCGTGCTGGCCTTGGGCTTGATTCGAAGGTACCCAAGTTGTACATTTCTACCTATGGACTAGGAACTGTGTTCCTCCAATGCTGCAAGTATTCAGAACCACTGTGCTTCAGGACATGAGCACTTTGCATGGCCTTCTCAAGAAGACAGTGTAATTTATTTCATGTAGGACTATCTCCAGAAGATGTCCCCATACTCTTGGAGAAAGGTGGAATTACTGTCTGTTTGGGGAGAGCACCAAGAATAAAGTGCCCCCCTTTTCTCTGACAGAGAGTTTGGGCCATAGTTATAGTGATCATGACAGAGACATATTTTTTATGCACAAAGCCCTATACAGATGGGGTGGTCAGGGATAACTATACTGGCTTAGGTAACCGTCTGGTATATACAATGTGTCTCAAATCTACTTTTCTAAAATGTTTTTATTCATGTATGTTTTTGCATGCAGGAATGGAGATTCTTGGGGATGAAGGTCTTAACCTAGGTTCATTCAGAGGCCACAAATTATGCATAAAGCTAACACTCAGAAGGTGTAGAGGTTATGAGCAGCCCTGCCTGGGTTCGAACCTAGCTCCACCACTCACCAGTGTCATGATGTTGGGCAAATGACTTTAGCTTGTGCCTTTTCAGATGAGGACATGTAAAAAAAATGGTGGTAATAATGTTACCTATATCAAAGGGTTGCTCTGAGGACTAAGTAGACTATCTCTAAAACACTTAGAACACAGAAATGTTTAGGAAAGAAAACTCATTACCTGGAAAATTTATGATGATCCAGACATGGTCTAAATACTGAAAAAAAAGCATGTAATGTCATTTTTCTCTGCGTGTCTTTAGAGGATTTTTTTAGTGTGTCTATTTTTATATTTCAGGCTCTGAAGAAGCTGAAGGGAGTTTGTGTGCGATTGTCCATGGGTCCTTGTCTGGTGGAGGCATGCACGTCTGCTGTTCTTGCCCGCTTCCTACTGGGTTTACCATGGCAATGGGCATTTATACTGGGGTAATAATTTTTCCTTATGTGAAAATATGCATGGACATTTAGGACTTTCTCAGATTTTATACAAAAGAATGCATAATAGCATTTCCTTAAGGACATCAGAAAATGCAATATGGATATTTCAGCATAGTATAACTATCACTATTCCAACATGTAAATATTATAACTTCAAAATATAGTGTACATCTCTGTAGGTGCTAACTTTTAGGGTGGTTATAGTAATTTATGCTATTGAGGAAGTAATAGACTTTTACCTACACCTGATTCCATGCTGGCGAGGGAGCTGCTGGGTCTCACCTCAGAGCTGCACAAAGGATAGTGAGTACACAACAGTGATCAACACCCGACACAGTTCTCCTCCTTCTCCACCAGACTGCTGTGATTAGGGGTTCTGCTGTCTCTCCCTCCCACTGTCAGTCCTTATTTCCAATGGCTGAGGGCCGGGAGAGAAAAATAAATATAAATTGCTCAGTAAAAATTTAGTGCTAGTAAGTAGGCGAGAAGTTACTTATTACCTGTCATGGTTAAGACTCTGGAGCTGCGTTGCCTGGACTCAGCTCCCGGCTCTGTGACTTTCCAGTGTGTCATCTTTGGCAATTTACCTCATCTCTCTGTGCCTCAATGTCCTTATTTGCAAAACAAACAGAATGATCCTGGCTACCTCATTGGGTTGTTGTGAGGATTAAATTATTTAATATATGTAAACTGCTTAAAATGGTGTTTGACACAAAATGCTTCTGCTGTGACCACTGCTGCTATTCTTAGTGTCACTGTCACTGTCATTATGGCCTTCCCCTTCCTGATCTGTTGTCTTATTTTACATACCAAGCCCTGAGACATGAAGGCCTAGCATCACCGGATTCCAATCCAAAAATTCATGGCCATGTTTTTTAAACCTCATGCCACAAATGTGTGTTTTTTTTTTTTTTTCAAGGCACATTCCTGGAGCCTAACCCCATTAGGTCTTCCAGACCACCCATAAATATATATATATTTTTAGGTACCAAAGTGCTCGCAGGGCAGGTTGTTCATGGCCACGCTTTGTAAAGTGTTCCATAGAACTTGTGTATATGTTTCTAGTTTGATGCATCACTGCCATTTGACAGATTATCTAAAGTGTATCCTCTCTAAAAGAGTAGAGTTTGTATGCCCTGGCTGGTTTGGCTCAGGAGTTAGAGCATCAGCCCATGGACCAAATTGTCTCGCAATCGATTCTCGTCAAGGGCACGCACCTCAGTTGCAGTTCATCTCCAGCCCTGGTCGGGGTGATGTGAGAGGCAACCAGTTGATGTGTCTCTCTCACATCGGTGTTTCTCTCCCTCTCTCCCTATCTCCCACTTTATCTGAAGATAAATGTTGAAAAGTGTCTTCGGGTAAGGATTTAAAAAAAAAAAAAAGAGAGTAGAGTTGATTGTACCTCAGTAATAATAATGACGATGATGAGTACGATGATATAAATGTTCATTTAAAGTGCTGTCTGGTTAGTTTTGTTGTAGGTGCTGTCTCTCCAGCTGTCGTGGTGCCTTCAATGCTACTTTTGCAGGAAGGAGGCTATGGTGTTGAAAAAGGTGTCCCAACCTTACTCATAGCTGCTGGAAGCTTCGATGACATTCTGGCCATCACTGGCTTCAACACATGCTTGGGCATGGCCTTTTCCACAGGTACACTGATCAGTTCACAATGTGCTGTTCTCTTGAGCTCTAGGGACAGATTATGATGATACAAGCATGGCATATTTGCTTGATGATTTATTAAGGCAAATTCAAATAGAGCGAGCAACTCGAAGATTAGTTCCTTACCTAAGGGGGAAACAGTAGCTTCTTGTCTTTACCCCCTTCTCTCTCTAGACACAGATGGTTCAAGTAGTATGGGAAGTGCATGCAAAGTAGCAAAGTTTAAAGAAGGAGAGCAGCTTCTGCACGAAGCCATCTAGGAAAGTTTAATCTCGGAGACATCACACAAGGGATGAGTAGGTTTTTCATTGAGCACAAATGACAGATAAGAGTCCAAGTGAAAGGAACAGTTTCTGTTCTCCCATCGTTAATATTTTATGAGTAATAACAATAATGATTTTAATGAGTATCTTATTAATACTTAATAATTGTATGATATGGATATATTTTGTTTTAAGTAATCCTACGTGATTACATTCAGTCTCTGAGTTTCTAAGGCCCTCCATGCAGGCCTCCCTTGAGTTTGTCAGTTTAGTGTGTGGTCCATTTTCTGTCCACACTAGAATTACTGCAGCAGGGGGCACGGAATACTCATATATGGGCCCTACCTTAGACCTATTAAATTAAAATGTTTGGGAATAAAAAACACAGCTTTAAAGTGTTAAAAAATAACCAACCAGCCCTGGCTGGTGGGTTCAGTGGTTGGAGCATTGTCTCCTTCACTGAAAGTCCTTGGGTTTGATTCCTGGTCGGGCACATAACTAGGTTTCAGGTTCTATCACTGGTAGGGGCATGTACAAGTAGGCAACTGATCGATGTGTCTCGCTCTTTCTCTCTCTCTCTCTCTCCCCCTCCCTCCTTTCCCCTCTTTGTAAAAATCAATAAGCATGTCCTGCCCTGGCTGGTTTGGCTCAGTGGTTAGAGCGTCGGCCTGTGATCCAGAGAGACCCGGGTTCGGTTCCCGCTAAGGGCATGTACCTCGGTTGCAGTTTGTCCCCGGCTCTGGTTGGGTCATGTGGGTGGCAGCCAGTCGATGTGTCCCTTTCACATCAATGTTTCTCTCTCTCTTCTTCTCTCTCCCTCCCCCTCTATCTGAACAAAAAAAAAAGAAAAAATGTCCTCGGGTGAGGATAAAAAATATATATGTATGTCCTCAGGTGAAGATTAAAATAAATAAAAGAATCAATCAAATAATCTTGAAGATCCAATCAGCTTTATTAACTGATTCATGAATCAGGCAGCATCCCATTTAGCAACTAGAAGGCACTCGAAGGGTCGAAGGGTCGTACAGAATAGAAGATTGTTATAGGAAGAAGGGTGGGGCAAGGGAGCCATTAACAAAAGGAAAAAAGGATTTTTTTTTTTTAACCAAACTTTTTTTTTTTTTGAGGGGGGAGGGAAGACAAGGATTTATATCATATAGATTGCCTGTTCTTTCTAAGGGGGATGAAGAGGGCCCACATGATAGGATACCTTCTGGTGTTGACCAATAAATTCTAGACTGGTTGACTAAGGTCAACATTTCTGAGAAATGTTGAAACTGCAGTTAAATCAGGTATTAAATCTAGGTTTGGTATCTTGGGCTTTAGAACACGTGACACCATTGTGGTCCTATGGTTTTCTCTTTAATAAAAGCAACAGAGTTTGCATTAGAAGAACAGGGAAGGAGGAAGAGCAGGGGCAGAGAGGTCAGTGGGGATGGTCTGCTTGGTTGTTCATAATCTGGGAGGGTGGAGGTTGCAGATAGCTTAAAAAACCTTCCTTGTTGACAATGCTATATTCTCTCTGCCTATTCCCCTGCGTGTGGTCCTTAGACCTTTTTGGATGGGAACTACATGGAGCCTCTTTAAAATGTGGGTCCCAAGCCCTGCCAGACATAGTGAATCAGAATTTTCAGAGGTGGTGCCCAAGAAGTCTTTCTTTTCTTTTTTAAAGCAACCTTACTATACAAGAGACTAAAAGTAATTAGTACTTTCTATACATTTATAGTAAATTATGTACTGTAATAGGTGGAGACATGTTATTATCACATACTTTTGACAGTCATACTTTAACAGAGAGTCATCTGAACTAAAATTACTGCAAAGGTATTACATTTTTAAATGAGAGAGATGATTGAAACTGTAGGGGAGAAAAACTGGTTTACCTCTACCTTGTTTAGGTTCCTTGTCTGGGGCCCTGTAAATTAGACTGACAAAAGACAGATTATCAAGAGAAAAACAGTTTATTAGCATGTGTATTGTGTTCCATACACATGGGAGTACTCAGTGATGAGTAACTCAAAGGAGTGGTTAGAATTGGGGCTTATGTGGCATCTGAGCAAAGAACAGTAATTTTGGAGAGAATGGCCAGACAAAGGATAAGGACTTTGAGCTTTGAAGACAGCAAATTATGGGAAGACAAACATATGAGAAAACTAATGGTAGTTAAGGGCTGGTCTTAGCAAAAATTGTTATGTAGAATCCTCTGCTGCCATCTCCAAGCTTATGAGGGGCCCTGGTTAAATTCCATCATTCTTGGTTGAGAGGGGAGAGGGATACCTTTACCAGCTATAGAGGGACACATATAGCCAGCTTTTAAACGAATAGAGTGCAGCGGAATTTTTGTGTATCTCTTCTCAGCCTTCATCTCAAAATAATCCTTATGCCAAAGTAGCATACTTTAGGATGGCATATTCTGTATTCTTCATCACCATAACAAAAAACCACAATAATGTGTTAGTATATTTATTCTTAGAACAGTGTTGAAGAAGGGCTTTATGTGTAGAGCAATTTTAATATAATTTTCTGCACAATGTGCTAACAAATGTTTTTTTCATTAAAGTGTCCTAAATCTTTTATGCTATGGTAGAAAATACAGATTCTCCTTGTCTTTCTATATTATGATATTTCAAAGAAGCTAGACTTCTAAGAGCAATTTCAAAAATTATATTTTTAATTTTATTTTTCAATTACAATTGGCATTCAGTGTTACTTTATATTAATTTCAGGTGTATAGCCTAGTGGTTACCAAGTGATCATCTTGATAATTCAAGTACTCAGTTGGCACCATTCATAGTTATTACAATATTATTGACTATATTCCCTTTGCTGAACTTTAGATCCCCATGACTACTCAAAAATAATTTATTTTTAGATTTACCTTTAGAATAAACATTTGAGAAGGGGTAAGTCCCCTACACTCATTGCAGTAAAGAAAGAATCTTGATTTTAATTGACAGATTCTTAAATTACTGTATTCTATACATATCAGTGCTAGTTAAAATCAATGTACATTTATTATTAAAAACTCAGGCTCTGAAATGGCAATTTCAAAACTAGATATATCTATGTAACCAGCCTATGCATATAAATGTAGTAGAACAAATTATCTCTGAATCATGAATTTTACCTTTCATGTTTATTTGGGCTCTTTCAGCAAATTTTTATGGAATTAGATGTACAAAAAAGTATGTAAGTTATAACTAAAGTCTATTTTGAAATTTATCTCCCATATATGCATACCTTCCTTATAAGATAGGTCTATTAGACATTGTATATCACATATATTTAAAAATTTGGAGATCAGAAATTACCTCTCAACTCTTCCTTCAATGTAATTTGATGCTCTGTGTTGACTTTATTTAAAGTCAAGTCTGTGTATTTATGGATTTAGAGTTCCATCTGCAGTTTTTCTTTTTATGTGTTCTTAAGGCTCCACAGTCCTCAATGTCTTCAGAGGAGTTTTGGAGGTGGTGATTGGTGTGGCAGCTGGAGCTCTTCTTGGATTTTTCATTCGGTACTTTCCAAGCAGGGACCAGGTAAAAGAAATAATGTGTGGGAAAGTCGTGCTCTAAACTGTCATTAGAAACACTCTGGAGCACTTCCTTCAAAGCTGACGTGAAGGACCTAGAAAATGGACCCCCATCTTCAAACTGCTTACTGCTCTGCAGTGCTGTCTGTGAGCTTTGTGAAGAGGAGTAAATGCATAAGATTTTATTTTATTTATTATTTTTTAATCCTTACCCAAGGATATTTTTCTATTTATCTTCAGATAGAGTGGGAGGGAGGGAGAAGAGAGAGAGAGAAACATCGACGTGAGAGGGCCACATCAACTGGTTGCCTCCCTCACAACCCCAACCAAACCGCAACCAAGGTACGTGCCCCTGACCAGAATCAAACCCGTGACTCTTTGGTCCACAGGCCAGCACTCTAACCGGCCAGGGCCAGGGCTGAAAGTTTTTTCTCTAATTTGTATTCTGTACATTTCAAATGTCACTGCAAAACAAATAACATCAATTCTAAAATAATAGGATATGAAAGTCTTAATTTTTAAAATTAATTTACTTTTATTCATAATACTCATAAATCAAGATATAAAATGGCTGTTTGAGCCCCCATTTTTAGTATCAAAATACCTTAGATTTAAATACTATCAAACAAGATAGACCTAATGTTTCATGACTATGGAGTCCAATGTTTCTAACCAAGGAGATCAAAGTTCTTTGCTGTTGTTCACAATGATTTCTTAATGAGAAACAAATATTTTTGTTTGTTTCTGTTACTGCTCTAATTCCCTTAGAATAAACAGAAAAATCTTTTTTTTCTATAAGAATGGGCATTTTGAATGGGATTAGAAACTTAATTGAAGTAGAACTTTAAGTAAGAAAATTATTTTTATTATCAGTATGTTGAGTTGAATTTTCATTGTATTCCATAAAACTCCTAGTAAAATTGTATTTTAACAGACAATTATAAAAAAATTTGTAAACCTGACTGGTGTGGCTTAGTGGATTGAGAATCATCCCATGTACCAAGAGGTCACTGGTTCAATTCCCAGTCAGGGCACATGCCTGGGTTGGGAGCTCAATCCCCAGTAGCGGGCATACAGAGAAGGCAGCCAATTAATGTTTCTCTCTCATCGATGTTTCTATCTCTCTCCCTCTCCCTTCTTCTCTCTCTAAAATCAATAAAAACACATTTTATAAAAGAAAAAATTTTTGTAAAAGATTTTCTGAATGCATGAAAAAAAATGACAGAATGTTTTCTAATTACACAACAAAATAAAGAGAAAAATGTGTGTAAAATAGTATGGTAAGTTCAACGAAATGTCTTTCCATTCAGTATGGCAGCCAGCAGCTACACGCAGCTATAGCAGATACAGAGCATTTCCATAGACAGGGCAGATACATACATTTCCATCATCAGTGACTGTTCTATTGGAAAGTACTAATCTAGTGCAATCCACACAGTAACCCATGATGAGAGAACTAGTCATACAGCCATTTTACTGATCAGGAAATCAAAGCTTAGGGAAAATGACTTGAACGAGGTCACAGAGTTAGAATGCAGTGGAGCTGGGAATGAACTCAGTAATTTTTCCCCTCCAGAGCCTGCATGCCTCCAAGTCAAGATTCTTGAAGACCCGTCTGCCTTCTAAAGTTATCAAGAAGTTTTAAAGGCTGAACAACAAAAAGTAAAGGGAAAGAGGTATACATTTCTTAGATTTTAAAAACCAACAAGAACAAAAATAAACAAACATAAAAACAACAACAAAAAACTACTCAGTCTATAACCTCTTAAAGCTTCTTGGTATTTAAGGATTTGGAAAGAAAAACCAGCAGAGCATCACAAAGAATAAACACAGAACCTAAAAATAATAGCTATATCATATCTTCATTCTTTACAAAAAACTCGTGATGTAACAACTTTCAGGGAGGAGGAAATGAAGCTTGGTGAAGCTTAGTAACATGCCACACGTACACCAATGACGTGAAAGAGCTAGAATTTTAATCCTGGTCTGTTTGGCTCCAAAGCCTGTGGTACTTTTTTCTACTATTCCATTCAACCCTGTGAAATTCTCTATTGATAACTACAGAGGAAGCTAACTCTTATTCCCGAAAGAGGAATAAGAGGAATCCATCTTTGTACCTGTGCTAGCTCTACTTTTGTTAAGGAAAGGAAAGGAAATGTTGTGTTATGCATTGACATGACAGATACAGATATTTTTATTTTCCACTGAATCTTGAAGATGGAAAGAAATCATTAATTAAAAATTAGTCATATGGCCCTGGCCGGTTTGGCTCAGCGGTTAGAGCATCGGTCTCCTGAGAGACCTGGGTTCGGTTCCCGCTAAGGGCATGTACCTCTGTTGCAGTTTGTCCCCGGCCCTGGTCGGTCGTGCGGGTGGCAGCCACTCGATGTGTCCCTTTCACATCGATGTTTCTCTCTCTCTCTCTGTTCCCCTCTCTCCCTCCCACTCTATCTGAAAAAAAAAAAATGGAAAAATGTCCTCGGGTGAGGATGATAAAAAAAAAAAAATCAGTCATATGAAATAATTGAATTAATCAATCTTTTTTCCTCCTCAAGGGCCAACTCGTGTGGAAGAGAGCATTCCTCGTCCTGGGGCTCTCTGTGCTGGCCGTGTTCAGCAGCATACATTTCGGTTTCCCTGGGTCAGGAGGACTGTGCACCTTGGTCATGGCTTTCCTTGCAGGCCTGGGATGGACCAGCAAAAAGGTGCATTTCAAGTTCTTCTCATAACTGCTTTCTGATTAGATTTATTTTTCTTTTCAAATACTTTCTTAATATCAGGTTAAATTATTTTACCATAAAAGCTATTTTCTATGCATATATAAATGTATGCCCAAATGCGCGCGCGTGCACACACGTTATTTCCCCCCTTACATACAAACCTATAACTTGATGTCTTTACTTAAAATATATCATGGTCATGTTTCCCGGATGCCTTCCTTATTCTTTGTAAGGGCTTCAGAGTACTGCACTGTATAGCTGTACTATAATTTGTTAAATCTATCTCCTACCCACAGACATTTAGATTGTTTCCCATTCTCTGCTAAACAAAAAGTGTTTCAATAAATATATACCATATTTCATAAACTCTAAGACACTATCAAGTCTAAGAAGAAAGAAAAAGAAGGTTGCCAATTAAACTATAACATTACATCCTAACTTTTCAGAAAAGTTTAAATGTGAGAAAATGTGTATCTTAAAATCAACAAAGTTTAGCATATCTTTGAGTTTATCTATAGGATAAATTTCTAGAAATAGGATTGCTCTATGAAACAGGGTACACATTAATACTTTTTAAAACTTTATTTTTCAAATACAGTTGACACTCAGTATTATTTTGTATTAGTTTTAGGTGTACAGATAGTGGCTAGATAATCATATACTTTACAAAGTGTTCCCCCTGATATTTCTAGTACCCACCTGGCACTGTACATAGTTATTACAATATTATTGACTATCATGTTGATAGTATAAATTTGCTCTTTTAAAAGCCTGTACCATACTGATAGGTAAAAAGTGGTATCTGCTTTTTTTTTTGTTTTTTTGTTTTTTGTTTCTTTGATTAGCAGTAAAATTGAATACTCTTTCATACATTTAGTCACTTGTATTTTTTTATTTTCTTTGATAGTTCTCTTGTTCATTTTCCTCTGAAGTTTAACACATTGATTATTGATCTATAAGATACATGAACCACATTTATTAAGACATTAACTCGTTGTATCTTTTTATGTTGTTCATTTTTAACACACACATATGTTACATTTTCATGTGGTGAGATCTATCAGTCTCTTATGACCGTTCTTCATTAGCTTATTTCTTAAAAATCTCTTTTCTGGTAAAATCTTACATATGTTATCTCATTTATTTTTTACAATAACCTTCACAAATATATATTTGACCCACTTTACAGATGAGGACATGAAGGCTTAGAGATATTAGACAGATTGCCCAAGGTCACAAAGCCAGTAAGCGGCAGCGCCAGGATAAGAACACACCTTTTGATTACAAAGGGTCCCTGACTCACGGTGGTTCTACGTAGGATTTTTGGACGTTATGATGATGAAGCAATATACATTCAGTAGAAACTCTACTTGCAGTTTTGAATTTTGATCTTTTCCTGGGCTAGTGATATGTGGTACAATACTGATACTTCTCGTGATGGTGTGTGGTGGCAGCGAGCCTCAGCTCCCCATCAGCCACACTATCATGAGAGTAAACAAGTAACACGGTACAGAGTACTGTGTTGCCAGGATTTTTTTGGATATTGTGTGTGTGGTGTTTTTGCAGCCCATCATGTCTACAAAATGCCCATCTTTGTCTCCTGCTTTTGGTGAGAAAAGGAAGACAATTACTCTTAAGGTAATTGCTTGCCTGTAGGGTAACGTAAGTGTCCTGAGCACATTTAAGGTAGGCTAGGCCAAGCTATGATGTGCAGCAGGTTAGGTGTATTAAAAGTATTTTCAACTTTGATAGGTTTGTCGGGACATAATCTCATCATAGATCAAGGAGCATCTGGTCATCAAAATGGTTCCCTAAAGAAAGTAAAAAGCATGAATCTTTATTGAATTGATTATGTGGCAGGCACTCTGCATATCTTCTGTATTTTAGTATTCAGGAAAGTTCCTACCTCTGGACATACCAGTCCAATGAGTCCAGATTTTGAACTTCTTTTGTCCCTTGGTCTGTACGATAGCATAGGATCAAGAGCTCTGGCTGCTTGGGCTAATCTCAGCTCTACAATTTTGTAGCTGTATTATCACCTACAAGTAATCTAATTCCTCAGTCCTCAATTTCCATTATCTCTAAAGTGGGAAGGGGTAATAGCAATAACTTCTAGAGTGGAGGATTAAGTGTAATAGTCTCTATAAAGCAAAGTGCTTAGTCCTAGAATGTGCTCAGTGAATAATAGCCCATATTATTTTTATACCTACTTCCAGAGCAGCAAGGCACAGTAAAAAAGAGCATAAAATTTATAAAATTTAAAATATGGAGATTGGGATTCCAATCCCAGTTCTACTATTCTTTAGCTATAAACGCCACCTCTCCCCCAACACACACAAGTCACTTACCTTCTCAGTTTTATTAACTGTAAAATGAAGAAAATAAGATATCTAAAGAATTGTTGGGACTATTATGTGGGAAAATGAGACTGAAGTACTTGTAAACTCAACAGTGCTACAGAAATATTGTTAAGTTATATTCTGAAAAGCTAAAATATTTTATAAAATTTTGTGTATACCTATAGTTTTGTGACATTATTTCACACTTTCTGCTTGGTTTTCCATGTAACCATTAATCTTGCCATTGGTTGTATTCAAATATACTCACCTTCTTAAAGCCTCTCTCGTGTATTTTCTCATCTATTTTCAAATCTAGTGATTCTTCTGATCACCTTTATAATTATGGGATATAATTTGGATCTTCTGAATCTTGAAATGTTCTTATCTCTAAGAAGAGAAAGATCAGCTTAAGTAGATAGTTAACTCATGAAGAAAACTTCCATTTCTCGTAACTTTCTCCTTTGTCCATCTTTGAAAAAGATTTAATATTTTTGAAGATTCTCACTAATGATGCACACAGGTGTGTAAAGTGGCCTAAACTTTCAGTGGACAACACAGTCTCTATTCCTCTGGGCTAATCTTCTTTTACACTTAGCCTATTCAATGAGTCTTTTTTTTAATAAATCAATTTAGCTTTGAAATTATGAAAAAGCTACAAGAAAATACATGAGCAGAACTAGTCACTGTCATTAAATATTTAAGGATATTGCATGTTATCTAATATAAACCTCTCGTTTTTACAGATGAGAAAAATGAGGTGATGAGTGGCAAGTGGCTTACAGTTAGTGGGTAGCAGGATTTGAACCTATGTCATTATGTGATTCTTTTTTTTTTTTTTCATGGTACATGCCACTAGCGGGAACCGAACCCAGGACTCTCTGGTCCACAGGCTGACGCTCAACCACTGAGCCAAACTTGCCAGGGCTATCTGATTCTTTATGATGTGAAAACACAACTTTTTGCATGATATAGGAATACAACTATATAAATAAATCAACCAACCAACTCCCTCACATATGCTCTGTCTTTCAACATTTATGAGCCAAGAGGAAATAGAATATTTACCCTAATAAAATATCAGAAAGAAAACAAAGAAAATAGAGAAACTATGTAATGCCCTTTTGTCAAAATGCTTAATACTATATATATGGTAGTGCAGATCCTTCAAGATGTGTAACTATAAGTACAAAAATTTTATCCAAAAATATAGATTCTTTTTTTTTATTAATTAATTTTTGTTACAGATGTTTCTCCTTTTTCCCCCCATTGATTCCCCCCTCCCCTTCCCTCCCTGCCCTGTCCCCAGCTTTGTTGTCCATGTCCATTGTTCATGCATGTAAGTTCTGTGGTTTATCTCTCCCCCACCACCCTTTCTTCTGGGGATTGTCAGTCTGTACCCCACTTCCACGTCTCTGGGACTACCCCATTCCTCAGACTGTTATGTTCATTATACTCCACAAATAAGTGAGATCATATGATACTTGTCTTTCTCTGTTTGGCTTGTTTCACTTAGGATGATACTTTCCAGATAAGAGATCTTTCTTTCTTATAGCTGCGTAGTACTCCATTGTGTATATGTACCACTGCTTTTTTATCCATTTGTCTACTGATGGACACTTGGGCTATTTCCAGATCTAAGCTATTATAAATAGTGCTGCTACAAACATGGGGGTACATATATTCTTTCTGATTGGTGTTTCAGGCTTCTTAGGGTATATTCCTAGAAGTGGAATCACTGGGTCAAATGGCTGTTCAATTTTTAATTTTTTGAGGTAACACCATATTGTTTTCCATAGTGGCTGCACCAGTCTGCATTCCCACCAGCAGTGTACTAGAGTCCCCTTTTCTCCACACCCTCACCAACACTTGTTGTTTGATGATTTGTTGATGGCGGCCATTCTGACAGGTGTGAGGTGACATCTCATTGTTGTTTTAATTTGCATCTCTCTGATGATTAGTGATGTGGAGCATTTCTTCATATGTCTCTTAGCCATTTGTATGTCCTGTTTGGAGAGGTGTCTATTTAGTTCCTCTGCCCATTTTTTACTTGGGTTCTTTGTCCAAAAATATAGATTCTTATTAGTTGATTTTTAAAAATCTGTTAAATGTAAATTCTTTGACACTGTAATATGTTCTGACAAATTGCCTTCCAAGAAAAGCAGCATCAATTTACTCTCCTGCCAATTAGTAAGTTTCTCTAAATTTTTTACAAATACTTGACATTATTAAAACTCTTTAGTATATTTTCCACTGTGATCACCACCACCACCAGCAGCACCCAAAGAAGATGGTATATCATTTTAATTTGTGTTTCTCTGATTACTGCGTTTTAGCATCTTTTTTATTTTTATTTTTGGCCACTTGTGTTTTTTTATGAAATACTTGTGCCTATGCACAGTCCATTTTTCTATTAGGTTCTATGTCTTTTTCCTATTGCCTGGATTTTGCTCCTTATTCTGTTATACTTAGTACAGATATTTCCACTGGTTTGCTACATTGTGTGTTATAAAGTTAGTACATAGGGTCTTATCAGGAAAGAGAAATCACATAGTTAACTGGAATAGGGAATGTTTATTATTAACCACATACTATCTTGTAAGATGTGAAGTGACCTTTAAGGAATATAGGAATAATAGCTATAAGCCCCTAGGGCTCAGATAGAGCATCCCCTTCCACCACCCCCCACCATCCCCATCCTACTCCACATATTCCTGGGCCCAGAGCTGAGAATCCAGACCGTGTTTAGAACTTTGGTTCACTGGATGGCAGTGAATTTGCTGGAACTTCATCCTCTAAATTTCCAAGAAATCCACTACCTAGTGTGCATGGGAAGGTATACTGCCCAAGGGAGTTGGCTGTAAAATCACCCAGGAGTAGGCTGAGGGAAGCTGCTGGCCACCATGCAGTGTAGGATCTTGGCACTGGGGAAGCCACCTGGGCTGCAGGAGCTGGTGCTGTAGGATCCTGTTGAAACCAGAAGAGCACCTTCCTCAGGCAATATCTCTTTAGTGCCCTCTACTGACAAAATTTAATATGGTGCTTGCTAGGAAAGGAGAAATATTTAAAGGGCCAGGCTCCATTTTCTGCAGAGCAACAGTGAAAGGAGCCAAGGAGCAATAAATTCATAGCTGGAACAGCACTTTACTATACCTGGATTTTATTTTTGTGCATAATTAGAAATGACCATAAACAGTATTTTCTTTTAATCCTCACCCGAGGACATTTTTCCATTTTTTGTTCAGATAGAGTGGGAGGAAGAGAGAGAGAGAGAGAAACATCAATGTGAAAGGGACACATCGAGTGGCTGCCACCCACACGACCAACCAGGGCCGGGGACAAACTGCAACCGAGGTACGTGCCCTTAGCGGGAACCGAACCCGGGTCTCTCTGGAGTTGCAGGTCAACGCTCTAACCGCTGAGCAACCCGGCCAGGGCTAAACAGTATTTTTTATAAAGGTAGAATAAAATTGGAAACAACTTAAAGGTCCATCCATAAGGAAATGATTAAATTAACTATAGTACTTCCATATCATGGATTCCTATGTAGCAATAATGAGGTGCATATCTGGATATATGTACTAATATGAAAAACTCTCTATATCATATTGTTAAATTAAATGAACATAAACTTTTAAACTGTTAAATCTAAGTATCACAATAAGTATACACACATAAATGTCATGTATTCAAAAGTAGAAATTCTCCTAAGATTACTTTATAAAACTACTTATAATTAAGATCCATTTGCAAACCAATGCTAACGTGCCTTATATAACTATGTCGGAAACATATGCAATTTTTTGCTCTATTCTAGCTAACCTCTTAGAGATATTACAGAAATTAAATATATCTCAGCTCAATTTGAATCAAATTTCAAATTAGTAGAATTCTCAGAACTTGTAACTTTACATAAAGGAAACACTTTTGTATGTCTTTTTCTTTTAGGCAGAGGTTCAAAAGATTATTGCAGTTGCCTGGGACATTTTTCAACCCCTTCTCTTTGGACTGATTGGAGCAGAGGTATCTATTGCGTCTCTCAGACCAGAAACTGTAGGTACGAATTTCAAAGTAGTACTTTGGCTAAAATTAACTCTTTTTATATTCAGTTAAAACATCTTTAGCAGGTATATGTTCCGTGTCCATTGTCACATTATATAAAAATTTAATAATGGTCTAAGTCTTATAGAGTAATTGGTTAGAAAATAATGTTTGTCAGTCTAAGATAATAAATTTTATATCTTTAATATTGTTCCTCGCAAAGAAAACTAATATTGCTTTACTACTATCAAAATATGCAGGCCTTAATTAAAGCAACTATGAGGTATCACGTCACACCTGTCAGAATGGCTGCCATCAACAAATCATCAAACAAGTGTTGGCGAGGGTGTGGAGAAAAGGGGACTCTAGTACACTGCTGGTGGGAATGCAGACTGGTGCAGCCACTATGGAAAACACTATGGTGTTACCTCAAAAATTAAAAATTGAACTTTCATTTGACCCAGTGATCACACTTCTAGGAATATATCCTAAGAAACCTGAAACACCAATCAAAAAGAATATATTTACCCCTATGTTCATAGCAGCACTATTTACAATAGCTAAGATCTTGAAACAGCCCAAGTGTCCATCAATAGATGAGTGGATAAAAAAGCTGTGGTACATCTACACAATGGAGTACTATGCTGCTGTAAGAAAGAAGGATCTCTTATCCTTTGAGATGGCATGGAAGGACCTGGAGAGTATTATGCTAAGCGAAACAAGCCAAACAGAGAAAGACAAATATCACATGATCTCACTTATTTGTGGAATATAATGAACTAAACAAACAGATGAACAAAATTAACCCAGAGACATAGAGGTGGGGTACAGACTGACAAGCCTCAGAGGACGGAGGTTGGGGGGAGGAGGTAAATCACAGAACTTACATGCATGTATGCATGACCAGTGAACACAGACAACAAAGCTGGGGATGAGGCAGAGTGAGGGGAGAGTGGAGGAGGTGCCAATGGGGGAAAAATAAGAAACATCTGTAACAAAAACAAATTAATAAATAAAAATAAAATAAAATGTAAATTAAAATATCTGAGGAAAGTTTAGAGTACATGCCAGGACATTAATGGAATGGAGAAAAACAGGAGAACCTGCAAGGACTTGGAGATTTCTTGTGTATAAAAAGAATAATTACTATACTTTTATCTCTCCAGATAAGAGCTAATAAAGAGTAAACTCAATATTATTTTTTTAAAATATGCAGGCCTTAAAACATTTTTTTCTAGTACTAAGAGTGTTCATCTAGTCTTGTTCTGATCAAGGGCCAGCATTTTAAAGATAACTAGTCGGTTTATAATATGTACTCATGGAATAGAAATGTTTGTTCATTCATTCTTTTATTTATTTAAGCACTTAAAAGCCATCATGTTAAAATTCTCTTGATTCATAGCACTGTACTTAAAGTTAATTTGCACATATATTCTCTGTATTTCCTCCTTTCCTCGCATCACAATATTCTCCGTCCATCGCAGGGATCCCATCCCCTGTCACCTCCTTCTGGATCTCCCACGTAGATTCTTCTCATACATCTGTAAATATACTTGTCATGTCCGTAACTTGAGAGTTTTCTCCTCTTCAGAATTTAAACAGAGTTTAATTTCTCTTATCTTAAACTAATATTCTTCCATTCTAATACATGCTGAAACATGGATGAACCTCGAGGACACTAGACTGTGAAATAAGGCAGACACAAAAAGACAAATACTGTATGATTTTACTTATCTGAGGTATCCAGAGTAGTCAAATTCAAAGAGACAGAAAGTAAATGGTGGTTGCCAGGGTTTGGGGGATAGGGGAAATGAGCAATTATTGTTTAATAGGTATACAGTTTCACTTTGCAAGATGAAAAATTTCTAGTGATTAGTTGCACAAAAAATGTGAATGTTTAATACGACTTAGCTGTACACTTAAAAATGATTAAGATGGCAAATTTTATGTGTATTTTAACACAATTAAAATGTATTCTTTCTCCATTTCACCTCCTTCCTCTTCTACTAATCTACCTCTTTATTCCTTTTTTAAAACTTTTCCAAAGAGATAAGTAACCATATCCCCTTTTCCCATTTTAACTTTTATTCTTATTCTTTTATTCAATACATTTCAGTCCAGCTTCTGCCCTATCACATAATCAACTCTGCTCTGATGAAGGTTATATTGCTAAGACCATTGAGTACCTATTGGTCTTTATTTTATTTGAGCTCCCAATAGCATTTGGGAGATCCTTAAACTACTTTTTTTTTTTTTTTTATCCTCACCCGAGGACACTTTTTCATTCTTTGTTCAGATAGAGCAGGAGGGAGAGAGAGAGAGAGAAACATCGATGTGAAAGGGACACATCGAGTGGCCGCCACCCGCACGACCAACCAGGGCCGGGGACAAACTGCAACCGAGGTACATGCCCTTAGCGGGAACCGAACCCGGGTCTCTCCGGACCGCAGGCCGACACTTTAACCGCTGAGCCAAACCGGCCAGGGCTTAAACTACTTTTTATACTGAATTCTGAAACTCTTTATTTTCCAGAGCCTTTGAGTCTTCCTTTACACTCACATATATGTGGCTTAAATGCTGCTCTTCATCTAAGTACTTTCCAAAGCCTCTGTGCTACTTACCCTGCATCACATCTCTGGGCTCATCAACCTCAGTAGTTTTGATTATGAACTATATACTTCCAAAATCTTTATCTATAAATCAATATATCCAGTTGCTAAATGGACATCACTACTTGTACATCCTACAAAATTTTATACTCAGTGTGTCTAAAACTTTCTCATCATCCTCTCCCCAAACTTTTCATGTTCCCTTTTGGGGATGGTATCATCTCTTGTATCTTGTACTTCAGGCAACAAATACTTTGGAAAATTTACCAACCTGGGAGAGACATCGTTCAACAAAGAGCCACATAGTTTTCTTTCTTTCTTTTTTTTTTCATATTTAATTAATTTATTTATTTTTGTTACAGATGTTTCTCCCCCCCCCACTGATTCCCCCCTTCCCATCCCTCCCCGCCCTGTCCTCAGCTTTGTTGTCCATGTCCATTGTTCATGTACACATGCATATAAGTTCTGTGGTTTATCTCTCCCCCACCACCCTCTCTTATGGGGATTGTCAGTCTGTACCCCACTTCCACGTCTCTGGGACTACCCCATTCCTCAGACTGTTATGTTCATTATATTCCCCAAATAAATGAGATCATATGATACTTGTCTTTCTCTGTTTGGCTTGTTTCACTTAGTATAATACTTTCCAGGTCCCTCCATGTCGTCTCAAAGGATAAGAGATCTTTCTTTTTTTTTGTTGTTTTTTTTTTTTATCCTCACCCAAAGACATCTTTTCATGTTTTGTTCAGATAGAGCGGGAGGGAGGGAGAGAGAGAGAGAGAGAAACATCAACGTGAAAGGGACACATGGAGTGGCTGCCACCCGCACAACCCAACCAGGGCCAGGGACAAATTGCAACCGAGGTACATGCCCCTAGTGGGAACTGAACCCGGGTGCCTCTGGACCGCAGGCCAACACTCTACCCGCTGAGCCAAACCAGCCAGGGCAAGAGATCTTTCTTTCTTACAGCTGCATAGTACTCCATTGTGTATATGTACCACTGCTTTTTTATCCATTCATCTACTGATGAACATTTGGGCTGTTTCCAGATCTTAGCTATTGTAAATAGTGCTGCTACTAACATGGGGGTACATGTATTTTTTCCAATTGGTGTTTCAGGCTTCTTAGGGTATATTCCTAGAAGTGGGATCGCTGGGTTAAATGGCTGTTCAATGTTTAATTTTTTGAGGTAACACCATATTGTTTTCCATAGTGGCTGCACCAGTCTGCATTCCCACCAGCAGTGTACTAGAGTCCCCTTTTCTCCACACCCTCGCCAACACTCGTTGTTTGATGATTTGTTGATGGCGGCCATTCTGACAGGTGTGAGGTGATACCTCACACATAGCTTTTCTATAAAGAAGCCATGTTGCAGATTCACAGTAGAGACCCAGCAATGTCTATCTGGTGTTTTACAGCCTTTTGAACTTGAGAAAGCTATTTATCCTTTCTGAATTTCATTTTTTAACTGTAAAATGAGAAAAATTACCCCACAGGTTGTAGGGATTAAATAAAGTAATGCACTTAAGGCTTAATACAGAACATGATACAGAGTAAACACATAACAAATGTTACTTTTTAAAAAATCACCCTATTATTTAGCAGTCACCTTAGCTGTGCCTTTCTCAGGTCCAGTAGTCTACAGCAGCCCTTGTCACAATTCCTTATTTTGCAAAACAGGATGAACTTATCTTTATCAGCGAAGGATTCTAAAGGACTGAATGAAGTACTGTACATGTGAACCAGAACTAATGAGCAGTCAGTGTAAACACCAGTATGGCAAAACACAGGTTGACTGCTAGTGTCTATTCTGATTGGTCGATGCCCAGCCAGCTCTGTTCTGATTGACTGATTGCCTTCATACTGACTGGTTATATTTTTAATATAACCTCTGGTCTTATACTCTGTGAATAGTTCTCAGCCATTTTGATAAAAACACTGATTTTTTTTTTCCTCTTCTTGATCTCTTACCAATGTTTATACTGCACTTACCTTATAGTATATTTATTCATTGTTTATGTTTCTGTCTTCCTCTAACTTTGAATTTCATAGAGGTCAAGTCTGTACATTACATATTTCTGTGTACCCAGTACTTAGTCCAAATCCTGTCATTCATTGTTATTATTTAATAAATTCTTGTTGAATAAACACATGGAAGAAAGAGTGCTTTTTGCTATAAAGCATAAGGGAAATAACATTCAAATCTCCTTTGTAGAAATTCAAATATGTTTAGTTAATTTCTCATTTTATTCTAGGGAAAATACCTTCTTTTAAACAAATACTCCGATTGATCCTTAATACAGGGGTAGGCAAAAGTAGGTTTACAGTTGCAATACAAACAAATAATACAATAATTAATAAATGAAAGAACAGTGCTTCATGTACTCACAACTGTAAGCCTACGTTTGCCAACCCCTGTATTGTTTTGATGAATTATGCCTAATCTCTTTTGTCTTTTAAATTTTTTAATAGATTTAGATTACTGCTGTTGACAGTATTTTGAATCAATAACTGAAATTTGACTTCTCCCGGAATATTTCATTATGTCTAAAAGTTGAGTATTTCTTATAGGCCTTTGCGTTGCCACCCTGGGCATTGCAGTATTGATACGAATGTTGACTACATATCTGATGGTGTGTTTTGCTGGTTTTAACATAAAGGAAAAGATATTCATTTCTTTTGCATGGCTTCCGAAGGCCACAGTCCAGGTAATGATAAATAGTACGGCTTAGCATTTTAACTACTGCTTCTATTTGATACCTTAAGATTTTGATGACAATAAGTAATTTGGTGAAAATAAGTAATTTAAGTTTGATTTGTGAAAAGAGTTTGTATTAATCTACTCTTTAACAGTTTTATTTGGGTATATTGATTCCTTAAATAAGACAGCTCATTTAAATTTATGTAAATCACCAGGGTACAACAAAAATTCCAATAAATCCCTATACTGCTAGAAAGCAGCAGTAGCAGGAGGAAAGAGTTTGAATTTTTATCTGTCAGAGCTCTCTAAATCCCCCAGAGAGATAGTTGTTAATTCTTTTCATTTAACTAGCTTCCAAGAAGAGAGAAACTAAACAGCATGGCTCATCTTAGTATTTGGAAATACTTCAGTGTCAATATGATTGATGATCAGTTATACTTGATCACGGTCTTTAGAAAGTAAAAAAAAAAACTTATTGACAAACAATTCAGAAAATGCTTTATTGATTTCCTAGATTATTAGCTGATACTAAATTTTTCAAACTAACTGAACCTTCTGTCAAATGTCTCAACAAATGACCCAAAATTTGTGCACTCTGAAGGATAAGGCACTAACAGATAGGCGCTTGAAATTATTGACAAGAATTTGGTAGAACACCTATAATTGCTCATTAAATTAGCACTAAATAGCCTGTCTGCAGTATGATTTGTTGCAAATGTAATATATTCTGTATTGTATTGCATATTTTCTGGTTTTCTTTTTTTAAATCCTCACTGGAGGATATGTTTTGTTTTGTTTTTAAATTGATTTGAGAGGGGGGAAAAAAGAGTGAGTGAGACACACACACACACAGACTTCGATCGTTTGCCTCCTGTACTGGGGATTGACCCGCAACCTGGGTATATGCCCTGACTAGAAATAAAACCCATGACCTTTCAGTGTACGGGATGGGACGAAGTGCCAACTGAGACACACCAGCCAGGGCTGTTTTGCATATTTTCTAGAGTAATTATAGCAAATGAGATTTAACTGTTCCACCCGATTGTTTTTTGTTTTCTTTTTAACTCATCTTTATTTTGAATGTATTACAGATGTTTCCCTCCTTTTTCCCCATTGACACCCTCCTCCCCAATCCTGCCCCCCTCCTGCCTTTCCCACACTATTGTCAGTGTCTGTTGGTTATGCATATGCATAGAAGTTCTTTGGTTTATCTCATCCCGCCCTCCCCCCCCCCCTTCTTTTTGAGGCTCATCAGTCTAACAACCAATTTGTATTTCTTAATTCCTTCATCTTTTTCACCCATCCCCCCAGTCCCCACCCATCTGGCAAGCAACTAAAAGTTCTCTGTATCTATGAGTCTGTTTCTGTTCTGCTTGCTCATTTTGTTTGTAGATTCACCCCTGATTTGTTTTGCAATTATTTAAGTATGCAAATATCTATTTCATGAAATGAAAATCAAATGTTCTTAATTTAGGAAGCTTTGGGTATGTGCTTTGTAACCATATGCCAGATTTGTATGGCTGTGGGCTTGGGCATTATTCCAAAGAAGTTTGTTTTGTTTTGTTTTGTTTTGTTTTCCCATCAGGCTTTCAAAGATGTCTAAGACATAATCTAAGAATACTGTGAGGTTAATATAGTAGAATAGGTGGAAGTTTCTCCCTCACCTATTGTGGAAGTGTCTTCAGCTTCCACACTACTGCTGGTAACTTTAGTAGGTAAATGTTAAAAAAATCACTCTAGTAATTTGTATGAAAGATTTGTTTCTAAACATTAAAATTTGAAAGATGGCACCTTTCTGTTATCAAAGCAAATTTTAAAATACAGAGATAGTTTCCAAGATGTGTTGAAGAACGTATGTTCTGTGAAACAGTATTATATAGAATTTTCTTTTTTATTCTTTTGCCACAGCACAAGAAACAAGGCTTCTTATATCTCTTTTCCGTATTAGTTGTTTTTCAAACTTTTTTGTTCATGTCATACTATAAAAATATATTTTAAATCGTAACTCAGCATATTCACAAACCCCAAAAGATACATACATACACAGCCCGGTCGGTGTGGCTCAGTGGTTGAGCATCGACTCATGTACCAAGAGGTTGCCAGTTCGATTCCTGGTCAGGGCACATGCCCAGGTTGTGGGCCCAATTCCCAGTGGGAGGCATGCAGGAGGCAGCCAATCGATGTTCTCTCATTGGTGTTTCTATCTCTCTCTCCCTCTTCCTTCCTTTCTCTCTCTAAAATCAATCAATAAATTAAAAAAAAATAAAAAAAAAATACACACAGACACATATACACACAACCGAGGACTGAAAGAGAATTATATAGTTGACCCTTGAATAATTCAGGGGTTAGGGTTGCCAACCCCTGCACAGTCGAAAATTCATGTGTAACTTTTATTTTTTTAAGTTTCTTTTAAAGAACAATTTTTTTCTTTATTGGTTTTAGAGAGAGACGAAGGGAGAGGGAAAGAGAGATAAAAACATTGATGGTAGAGAACATTGATTGGCTGCCTTTTGCATGCCCCTCACTGGGGATTGGGCCCACAACCTGGGCATGTGCCCTGACAGGGAATTGAACCAGTGACCTCTTGGTGCATGGGTCGGTGCTCAACTGCTGAGCCACATTGGCCAGGCAAACTTTTTTTTACTCCTCACCCGAGGATATTTCTCTATTTATCATCAGAGAGAGTGGGAGGGAGGGAGAGAGAGAGACAGAGAGAAACATCGATGTGATAGAGCCACATCCAGTGGTTGCCTCTCACATGACCCGACCAGGGCCAGGGATGAACCACAACCGAGGTATGTGTCCTTAACCAGAACTGAACCCACAACTCATTGGTCTGTGGGCCAACGCTCTAACCACTGAGCCAAATCAGCCAGGGCTCATGTATAACTTTTGACTCCCCCAAAATTCAGCCCGTCCCTCTGTTATCAGTGAGGGATTGGTTCCAGGATCTACCCATGAATAACAAAATCTGAGGATGTGCAAGTCCCTTATATATAGTGGTGTAGTACAATGCATACATTCAGCCGTCCACATCCACAGATTCCCAACCACAGATGGAAAATGCTGTTTTCCATTTGCTGTTGGTTGAATCCACAGCTATGAAACCTAAAGATACGGAGGGTCGGCTGTATATTTATTGAAAAATATTATATATAAGTGGACCTGCACAGTTCAAACCTGTGTTGTTCAGGGGTCAAATATATATATATATCACAATGTGTGCAATTCTTGCCAAGAATTCATGAAATGTTGAATTAGTTATGGTACCCGATAACCTGCAATAACAAAGAAGCTTCGATACAGGGACTGAATTAAATAGCTTTTTCTTTCTTTCTTTCAATTAATTTTTTAGAGAGAGAGGAAGGCAGAGAGAGATAGAAACATCGGTGTGAGAGATACATTTGTTGGCTGCCTCCTGCACGCCCCCTACTGGGGATGAAGCCCAAAACCCAGGGATGTGCCCTGACTGGGAATCAAGCCGGGACCTCTCAGTCCATGGGAGGTCCACTGAGCCACACAGCAGCTTTTTCTTTCTCACCAGCAGTCTAGCATGGGCATCCCACAGCTGGCAGGGTGACCACTGTCCTCAGCATGTGCCTGTCATCCATGAGTCCAGCTTTCACAATTTCTCATCCAGTGGGAAGGGGGAAAAGAAGAAGGTACAAGTGTCCATTTGTTTTCAGAGAACAACCTGCGAGTAGCATTTATCACTTCCACTCACCTCTCAATGGCCTTAGATACATAGCTTCATCTTGTTGCAAAGAAAGGGGGGGGGGGCGTCTATTTGGACAGCAATGAGGCCAGCTAAAACTCAGGAGTTCTATTAAAGAGAAAAGGGACATTCAGATATTGGGGTCAATCAGTAGTCTCTGCCATTGTGTCTCATGCACACTGACATTGTCTCTTCTGTTTCACTGTCCTGGAGGCTAATGTGTTCAGTGCAATAAAGGGATAACAAGATTGACCACTATATGATTTTCCCATGAGCACTAATACTGTATTTTGCCTCTGAAAGAAAACGAGAATTTTTATAAGATTTTCCAGTAGATAAACTTAAAATGAAACATTTTACCAACATTGATGCAAAGAGTTAACTAGATACCTAAGTTTTAAAAGTATCTACCACTTTCAGGTTTCATGTTTAAAAACTAGTTTTGACTTTAAAGCAATACATATTCTTATGTTTTTTTTTCATTTAAAACTTCATCACCCTGGCTGGTGTGGCTCAGTGGACAGAGGCTTGGCCAGGGCACCAAAGGGTCATGGGTTCAATTCCCAGTCAAGGGCACGTACCTGGGTTGCAGATTTGTTCCCTGGCCCAGGTGAGGATAAATAAATAAATAAATAAATAAATAAATAAATAAATAAATAAAACTTCATAATCTTCCAGTAAGTATCACTCCATATTTTTTTTTCATCTTTATCCTTCTTAATTCCAAATTCCTAATGATAAAAGAATGAGATGAACAGTGACTTTCCTCTTGAGTCAGGAGAAATTTAGTACACAGAATCATGTTATGGTTAATTATCATCATGAGTCTGTGCTTGCCTTGTGTTTTGAACTATATTTGCTTGATATATTTTTGTAACCTTACTTTAAGTAAATAAGTACATAAGAATCATTATTCTCACCCTGGCTAGTTTGGCTCAGTGGTAGAGCGTCAGCCCACAGACCAGAGAGTCCCAGGTTTGGTTCCCACTAAGGGCACATACCTCGGTTGCAATTTGTCCCTGGCCCTGGTGAGGGTCATGTGGGTGGCAACCATTCGATGTGTCTTTCTCACATCGATGTCTCTCTCTCTCTCTCTTCCTCCCTCTCTCCCTCCCACTCTATCTGAAGATGAATGCAATATATATATATATATATATATATATATATATATATATATATCTCCATCTCCTTGGGTGAGGATTAAAATAAAAAAAGAATCATTATTCTCTCCCCATGCAAGGACAGGGACAGTTTTCAAACAATCAGAACCAACTTTAGTATACTTTGAAAGAAGACTAATAGAACTTTCCTAGTTGAGCAAAAGAACAAGCAATGTGCTTAAAAATAATTCATCTGTATCTATGTGCTTATCTTGCCATATTTACAAATTTACCTTTAAACTTTTGTAGGCTGCAATAGGATCTGTAGCTTTGGATACAGCAAGAGCACACGAAGATAAACAGTTAGAAGAATATGGAATGGATGTTTTGACAGTGGCATTTTTGGCCATCCTCATCACAGCCCCAATTGGAAGTCTACTGATTGGTTTGCTGGGCCCCAGGCTTCTCCAGAAAGCTGAATATCAAAATGAAGATGAAGTTCAAGGAGATATTTCTACACAATTTTAAAGGTGAAAAGAAAGAATGCTGAATATAATGATTAGAAAGCTGTTGCCCAGCTGGTGTGGCTCAGTGGATTGAGCGTAGTCTCCAGGATTGAGAGGTCCTGGTTCGATTCCTGATCAGGGCACATGCCCGGTACGCAGGCTCTATCCCCAGTAGGGGGCGTTGCAGGAGGCAGCTGACTGATGTTTCTCTCACCCATCGATGTATCTATCTCTCTCTCCCTTCCCCTCTCTCTAAAAAAAAAAAAATCAATAAAAACATATTTCAAAAAAATAAAAAAGCTTCTAACAGAGGCTACTTTTATCAAATGGATACTGAAACATGTAATATTTAAGCTTAAAATGCATAAGAACCAAAAGCATGGCTTTCTTCAAACAGCATTTTTAGCCATTACCCTTCATGTAGTGGTGATGTTATTCATCTCCAACCTGATCTCTCTACCTTTTTTTTTTTTCCAAACACCCCTTCATCATATACCTTTATTTATACAGAGACATATACACTTTAACATGCTACCACAAGGAAAGATCAAGTTCAGAATCCTGTTCTGCCCACCAGCAGCTTTCTCTGACTCACTGTTACTATCAGCTTCACAGTTCATGGTTATCTAGCCTCTCATGTGTTGAATTGACTCCTCTTTTCTGTTTTGTTTTTAAATACCAGAATCCAGTCCTTCATCAGTTTCTACCCTCACTGTCCCTGCTAATCTGCCTCACCTCCTTTGGTTCCCACCAAAATGTTAAAGAATACAAAGTATCTTCATTGGTTCCTCCTCTTGCACCTGTCTAGATGACAGGAGACCTTATCCTGACTCCTAGCTGGCTACACGGAGCCCCCATTTCAGTGGCCCATCTGAGTTTGCCTCCTCCTACAGAATGCTCTGTCAAGCCTTTTCTTATTTGTTCCAGGATCTTCCTATTCTCTAAGTGAGCGATAGCTAATTTTCAAATCTATGCCAACCTCACGATTATCATATCAATCAAGGTAAGATAAGCTGCTGTAATGAAGAAAGAAAAAATACAAAATAGAAAGTTATTTCCCTGTCATGAAACTGGCTAGCTAGTTGATGCTGACAGGGTTACTCTACTCATGAGGTAACTCAGAGACCCACATCCTTTTGTCTGGAGGCTCTGCTGTGCCCCAGCTTAGGACATGGATTAAAGATGGATCTCTCCCATGTTTCCTTTCTATCCCTCAGGAAGAAGGAAAAAAGAAAGTCCAGGGAAGCAATTTATTTTTAAGGAAGTGGTATGAACATTGACTCATGTCTTCCTTACATTCTGTTGGTGATGATCACACCAGCTGTGCAGAGGCTGAGAAGCATTCACATTCTTAGGAGGAAGGAAAGATCAGCTTTAGAAGCCAAAGGTACCATTGCGTTGGGAGTTATCATCACTTAGTAGCATATTTTTGTATTTAACAAGGGCTTTCTAAAGATAGTAACTTTAACCAAAAGAGTGGCTTCTGTGGCAGGAATTTCACACATCGTGACATGCCAGCAGAGAAGATATGAGAGGAAAAAATTATTTGCATAGGTCACACTTTATCCCACTTACTCAACAGACTATCTCTGCTTTTATGTATCACCAGTAAATTCCTCTTTCACTGTAAGTCAACTCCTGCCTAGTTGGTATGAAACCATGTTCAAATACAGTTTACAACTTTTATCATATCTACATGAATAATTTATTACTTTCTTGTCATTTCCCATCTTTAACCTAGAATTTAAAGTTCCATTTAATCTTGAGGTATATAATTAATATGTATTAAGTGAATGGATTATAAATATTCCAGTCCCACCAAGCTGATCTGCATACAGCCTATCCATGCCTCTCTTGTCATTAGACTACCATTCCAGCCCCTTCCACCATGACTTTCACCTCTCTTCAAAACTAGCTTAATTTGTATAAAGCTAACATAATATGAAGCCATAATAGGCTTCATTTTTATGTCAGCCTGACTCTGGTTACTGTATTCCTTTTGTGTGTATGTTTTCTTTTTGGACTGAATTTATACCACGGTTCAGATGGATCTTTCAAATTGAACTTCATTGGTTAGGTACATCTTGGTGGTGCACCATAAACTTAATGCTCATCTGGTACTTACTTTCATAGGTTCTAAAACTAGATTTATTCAACAAATGTTCACTGAAAGCCTTTGGTAGTCCAGGCACATCATCAAGGCTAATATTTTTGTTCTTACAGATCTGACAGTCTGATAGAGGAAAACAGTATAAGTGCTAATATGCAGAAAGTACAGGGTTGCTAGGGAGCTTGTGGTAAGTGCTGGTGGGCTATGTACCAGGCATTATGCTAGCTACTGGGGAATACAGTGATGAACAAGATATTCAAAGGCTCTGTTTTTAATGGAACTTGAATTCTGGTGGGTAGTTGACACTGGGAATTACAAATGTGAATAAGACATGATACTTGTCTTCAAGAACCTTACAAATAAATAAGATATGTACAAACAGTGGTAATCCAAATGCGTGATTCAGAAGTGTTCCCAAGAATCCAAGAGGGTGGCAGAGTGGGTAAATGTTACACTCACCTCGTCCCAGGGCCAAACTGGAATTACAACTAAAATATAGAGCAATCAACCTGAATAACCAGCTGAAGATTAGCTGAAGAGAAGTCTTAAAGATAAGGATCTAAAGAAGCCACATCAACACTGGTAGAAATGGTGAGATCCATGGGCAGCAGCTGACATTTTGCAGGGATACCTCAGCTGCAGGGCTTCTTCTTAGAGGCCCCCAAGCCAGGTCCCCCAGCCCAGAGCACCAGAGCCAGGAAGAGGTGCTCACAAAACATCTGGCTGCGAAAATCAGTGGGAAGTGTGTCTGCCAGAAAGAGATAGGAGCCTGCTACAGACACAGATGCCCTCTTCAAGGGCCATTGCACAAAATCTCACAGTCACTCACCCTGGGCTCTGGTGGAGGGGGTGGTGGAGCAGACCAGAGTCATGTGAGGAAAGACTTGAGTTTGTGGCTCTGGAGAGAGATCTAAGAGGATAGCTGGCAGGACCCCTGTCCTGAGTCTCTCTCCCACATACCAGGTGCCATCTTTCTTGGGTAGAGCACGCCCCTCCTTACAGGACCAGCCTAGGGGGATACAATAGTTCCACCCTCTGGACTCCCTATTGCCATACCCTGTGGAGTTTGCACCCTGCTTAGGAGTCAGCTGCCTGAACCAGGGTGTAGAGGTTTGGGCAGATTCAGGGGATGTCAGTGGTTGAGTTGTGTGACTTTGGGTTGGGGCTGTTTCCCCCACTTTTCTGTGAATCTGAACCTCTTGGGAGCTCTCTGCTAGCCCCACTCTCCGGGCTCCTGGAAGCCCCATCACCTTCCCGATTCCTGGTGGCTCTGCCTTGCCATGTCTGGGGAGAATCCAGGACAGAATGAGTTGCGAGGCTACGGAGCAGGGCCCATTCTCCCCACCTTCCCCCAACTCCTGGCAAATCTGCACTACTGAGATTGGGCTCCTGGCAGACTCTGGGACAGACTGAGTTCTATGGCTCTAGGACGGGGGAATTTTTCCCTTGTACGCCCTACCAATGAAGAGCCCTCTCTTCAAACAGCTAAATCTGGGTCTGTTTGAGCCTGATAAACTCTGCTGTCCTCACCCTGACAACTCCTGGGGACCTTGCCCCACCACAAAGGTGTCCAAGCACCCAGCAAGTGGCAGGTAGACTTGGTATACCCTGGGACTTTTGCTCAGTGGCCTCAGACCCAGCACTCACACCAAGTTTGAACCTGTATCAATCTGGTGAACACCACTCATGGCTACCTGGTGACCCACTGAGAACCTACCTCATGCAACTTAAGTACTACCAGGGGCTCTTTCAGTGACTGAGCCTAAGAGGTAGTCAGCAAGTGAAGGCAGGTGGAGGCAGATCACAGAGTTCCTTGGGACTTCTGCTGACCTTCCCCCAGGCCTGGTGCTGGGAAAAGCCAGCCTTGGTGTGCAGCTTCATCCTTCCCACACACCCAGGCCCAGCAGAGGAAGCCACCAACTGTGGATTGTTTTGTTGCTCCAATCAGGATGCCTAGGGCCAGTCAGAGGCAGCATCTGACATTGGCCTTCCCTAGAGTCCTTCCCAAGAGGCTCCAAACCAACACACTCAGTGGCAAGCTTCAGAAAACATCAGAGAAGGATCCAACCAATTTCACAAGTGGCATATCCAAAAGGAGATCCCAGCAGGCACCAGACCCTGCTGAGGTGAATTCCACTCCATGTGGTCAGCACATGCACAGCAATCTGTACACATTGGTTGGCGTCTATCCTCACAGTCAGCCAGCCTGAGGGTTGACACCAGGCATGAATGGACCAAAAGAAATCAAGACACAATTACAAAAGAAGGGCCTACATAACCCACACAAGGAAAATTCATGAAGCACCTAGCTCACGTGGTCAAGGAGACTGAGCCACTGGGTAGTCTGGAACTGATGAACCGCGATAAACGAGGGCCGACTGTATGGAGTTTCCTCAAAAATTTAAAACGGTACTGTCTTTTGAGTCAGCAATCCCACTTCTGGGAATATATCCTAAGAATCCCAGAACACCAATCAGAAAGAATATATGCACCCCTATGTTTATTGTAGCATTATTTACAATAGCCAAGGTGTGGAAGCAGCCCAAGTACCCATCAGTAGCGCATGGATCAAAAAACTGTGGTACATTTACACAATGTAATACTATGAGGCTGTAAAAAAGAAGGAACTCTTTCTTACCCTTTGCGACAGCATGAATGGACCGGGAGATTATTATGCTAAACTAATAAAGCCAGTCAGAGAAAGACAAATACCATATATTCTCATTTATATGTGGAATTTAATGAACAAAATAAAGTGACAAACAAAACAGAACCAGAGGTATGGATACATGGAACAGACCAACAGATATCAGAGGGAGTGGAGGGGTGGAGGGGACTGGATGAAAGAATGTGAAGAGATTAGCCAAATAACGTATATGTATAGCCCATGCACACAGACAACAGTGTGGTGA